TATATTTTAGATTTTTTATATTTTAAAATAAGATGTTTATCCTCTATTTGATTATGTTTATCCGCAATTCGTTATACGAATTCAAACATCAAGCTTTAATAAGTTGCACTTTTGCATAATTTACTTGTAATCTTGAATTTTATGTAAACATTGATTTTATGTGGTTTTAAGAAAGTGATAATGTTTTTTATTTTTGAATAAAATATAAATTTAAAAATATCATAAAATTTTGAAAAAAAAAATATCGATATCAATATTAAATTAATATTTTTAAAAGTTCTTGTGTTTTGGTGTAATTTTTTAATTATAATTTAATTTAGGTTTAGTAACAAAGAAATTTAATCTAGGTTTAATAATATAATTTTTTATAAAGATAATAACTAAGTATTCTGTTAGTTATCAATAATTATCCTAATTAAATTTTAGATTTTTTATATTTAAAATGAGATGTTTATCTAATATATTTGATTATGTTTATCTGCAGTTAGTTAGACGAATTCAAGTATGGAGCTTTAATAAGTTGTACTAATGCACAATTTACTTGTAATCTTAAATTTTAAGTAATATGCATCAATTATCAGTATTCGTGCATAAAAAATCGTTTTTAAAAGTTTTTGTCAAATGTTTTATAATATTATATGTGTGTGTGTGTGTATATATATATATATATATATATATAGATTAAATTTAAGTTTAATAATAAAACAATTTATTTTTGGTTTAATATTATACATTTTATAAAGATAATAATTAAATATTCTGTTAGAATTTAATTATTATACTAATTATATTTTAGATTTTTTATATTTAAAATGAGATGTTTATCATGTATTTGATTGTGTTTATCTGCAGTTAGTTATACTAATTCAAATATGGGATGAAATCGGATAGGGATGAAATCGGATATGGATGAAATCGTTTAGGGATTAACGAGTTTAAGAGTTAAGATTCCAATCTTTTTGAAGACCCTGTTATAAATGTATAAACATCATAGATTAGATGATTACCGGATGAGTAATAAATTAAACAAAATATAAAAAAAAAATGAGCATATACCATATGTTATATCAAAATTCTAGCGAATTAAAACAATAAGATTGTCTTAAAACTTGACAAGATTTGGTAGACCAGACTTTTATTGAGAAATTAATGGGCATTTAGGGAGGAGGAGGATTAAGTTACGTTAAATATTACGTCAGAACAATCAAGGGCAATAAAGGGTGTTGGGCCAAAGTTCAGTCATCCATGGCATTGGTTAAGCAAGGGCCATTGTATTAATTTCGATTTTCTACAATAGGAATCGACATTATTTGACCTATCATCAATTAAATGACTTTCAGAATTAATGCCCACTAGGCTGGATTGGAAATTTGATCGTTTAGACTAGGTTTGGGACGCAGAGACGGTCTATTATAGTGGTGGATTCAGAATTTTTGTTGAGAGGGTATACCTGTAAGATTTATCAAAAACCCGTAAAGTTACGGATTCATCTTGTGAAAAGTAAACACGTACGGTTTGACCCGTGGAAAAATTAATTGCGAAAAAAACAGAATCGATGCTTTCAACAGGGCGTGAAACTGCTTCTTAGGCATAAGCATGGTGTGTTTTTAGCTGAAGTTTACCATTTAATTTCTAGTGATTTTTCTTAAAGTTTTTTTATTGGTTTCGAGCAACTTTTCAGTATTTTTGTTGATTTCGAGAGATATTTTCGGTTTATTGTTTATTGTTTCTATATTTTTTAATAATGTCGGAGCACCCTCAAAGTTTAGGATGTACACATTTCATATCTAAAAAAAATTCTATTTATGAAATAATTTGAAAGGTGCACGGGACCCCCTCAGTCCTTTATAGGTCGTAGATATATATTATATGACAAAAAAAATTGAGACAAAAGTAGAGTAATTGGAAACATTTTTTTGTTCAACCAAAAAAAGGAAGGCTGTATGGGACAATTCAAGATTGGTCTTTTGAGGTTAATTTAACTGACAATAAGATTTAGGTTTTTGGGATTTTTATCAAAGGTCGTTGGTTCGAGTCATACAAGATCAATACAGATTTTTCTGGCTGTTCTTCAGGGATTAAATGATTTGTACACAAACTGATCTAAACACCCATGATTAAGAAAAACAGTTTTGAGTTTTCACAACTTTTTTTAACTTGTGTATTTATTTTCTTCTATTTTATCTCCTAATCGTATCAAATAGATAACTAGTTATCTATACTATCTTATAAATCAGATTTATCAAAAGTCTTAAAAACAATTTTTCATACACAAAATACTATACATTTATACACAAAGTCTTAAGAGTCTTAAAAACAACTCATAATGCATTAAGTATTATTACTTTATGCATTCAGTCTTAAAATCTCTTAATCTACAATTAAAATAACATATAATGCAAAGTACCAATGCAGATTATTATCTTTTTTTTCATGTTTCCAAGATACTTTTGACATCTTTCACTCATGCATTCACCCTCTCATACCTCTATGTCTTCTCCCCATCCCCCAATGTGAGATTGAAACAAATATTCATCATGAGTTATTAAAAGTTCTTCTATTCATCTCTCATTCAATTGCTTTAGAACTCTCGGTCTCGCTCTCAATCTCTTGATTCTTTACTCTTGGTGTAAACCGAACACATTTGTGGAATCGTTTCAATATGTTGGATTTTGAATATATTGGATTTTAAACTATCATACAATTTTTTTTCATCGATAGACTGTAATTGGAACCGTAACTCTTATTTATTCAAATTGTATTAATAYRTAAAGACCAAGTGTAACTTATATCATCGTTAAATCTTCTTTAATAAAATCAGTAAAACTTCAAAATCGTTAAAATTCACAGCTCCTGTCAGATTGCACGGGTACACCACTAGTATTTTAAATAATCCAAAAACATGTATTTAAAGCACAAGATTTACACTCAAAGTTTGATTGTTTTTGAAAAAGAGTAGCACCGTGGGTAATTAAATGTCAACTGCTTTTTGGGGGTGAACTTAATGCTTACGCCTAGCCAATAATAGAGGAGTTTAAATTCTCTGAACATGCCCATAAATTTTCTATGGGAAAATCCAGATATATTTTATAAAATTATTACTGGTTTATCGGTTACTTTTTGTTTTATATGTAAGATTCTGTGTTACATTTTTTTTACAGATAATAATCTATGAAAGAACAAACTTGTACGTTGACAAACAAAAGATCAGTCA